AGCACATAGCTTCTCAGAAGTTCATGAAATATTGATCTTATGAAAATTAAGCTTTTATTCAAAGGAAGCTTGACAAACCGATGAATGTTATGATAATAAAAGATCAGAATATCCGTGCTCTAAGGATTACTCTCAAGAACTCAGACGGGTGATTCTAAACAGAAGAATGAAGAGACCATCTGAAGAGAAGATTGATCCTTGTTCTCAAATTAGAGATTAGAGTTCAGAAGAAAGTTATTATTCTCAAATCAGAAAACTGAGAATACTCAGAGAAATAAGAGGAATCAATATGAAGATAATTCAAAACCTTTGAATGACCGCTCTGAAGAAAGCATAAGAAGAAAAAAGTTGATCATATTCTTTATCTAAGAGAAAGCTAAAATTAAAGACAGATGTAAGATCTTTAAGAATATGACAGTATCATTTCTCTCCTTCACTTTACTTATCATATTCTTGCTAATTTTATAGACTCATTTATCAGAATATAATCATTTGCATAATTCTTACTATAATATTATTCAAAAACTCATTCATAAATCTTTTACGAACTTCTTAGAAAACTCAATCACAAATATTTTTATGCAGTTCTTTAGGAAATCAATCACAAATCTTTTACGAACTTCTTCAGAAACTCAATCACAAATCTTTTTATTATTAAAAATCATAATATTTACAATTCTTCAGTTATTAATGAACTATAAAATAAATTCATTATTTTGCTATCCTTCAGGGATGCTTTATTTGTTCTTCAGGAACTATATAAGAAATTAATCATTTTACTATCCTTTAGGGATGCTTTATAATGTCTTCATAAAATATATAAGAGATTCAAGATTTTTTCGATCTTATATAATTGCTTCATATGTTCTTGAGGAACAATATAAATTTATTATTTTTGTATCATTCATGAATACTTCATAAGTTCTTTAGGAATTATATAATAAATTGTTATTTTGTCATCTTTCAGAGATGTTTGATAAGTTCTTTAGGAACTTATATATATATATATATATATATATATATATATATATATATATATATATATATATATATATATATATATATATATATATATATATATATATATATATATATATATATATATATATATATATATATATATATATATATATATATATATATATATATATATATATATATATATATATATATATATATATATATATATATATATATATATATATATATATATATATATATATATATATATATATATATATATATATATATATATATATATATATATATATAATTTTGCTATCGTTCAGAAATATTTGATAAGTTCTTCAGATACTTATATAAATATTGTTTTGCTATCCTTCAAGAATACACTACGCCAAAAATAAGTTTTAGCAGCACATAAAAGAAAGCGCTTTTGGAAAAAAGAGCTGCTGTAGGTTTTAAAAAAAAATCGCTTAAAAAAGCGCTTTCAAAGGGTGCCTTAAGAAAGCGCTTTTCAAAAGCGCTTCTAAAGGTCACCCTTAGAAAGCGCTTTTTGGGAAGCGCTGCTAAAGCTGGCCTTTCAGAGGGTACCTTAAGAAAGCACTTTTCAAAAGCGATGTTAAAGGTCAACCTTAGAAAGCGCTTTTCCAAAGCGCTGCTAAAGTTGGCCTTTAGAAAGCACTTTTAAAAGCGCTGCTATAGGATATGCTACGAAAGCGCTTTTTGATGTAAAAATGCTGTTATAGATGACCTTTAGAAAGCGCTTTTAAAAGCGCTTTCGTAGGTAGTTTTATAATAAATATCAAAACACAATTCGTATCACTTTTCTAAGCCCATTAATTAAGCCCATACCCGAATTATTATTATAAGTTATTCAACAGAAACCCTTGTTGGAAACCATTTGCAGTATAGCCGCTCATCTTCGTTTCTCACAGCATCCCGTGAAGCCGCTCCAAAATGGTTCGTTCGTTTTCACAGCTTGTTGAATTTTAAACTGTTATTCTAATTTCATTCTTATGTGATTATTGTTTGTGATTTTGGTTACAGACTAAGAGAACCAAGAAGGCCGGTATTGTTGGCAAATACGGTACGTTCTACCAATTTTCTTACTTTTCAACATTTTGTCTTGTTTGTTGTGCTTTTCGGTTTCAGATTTATTTTTTTTGTAGATATTTATTTCATTTCAATTCACTATAAATGTGTTTGTTCTAACCCTAAAAACTTTGTGGATTTTTTAATTTCAATTAGGTTTAACTTAGATTTATTTGCTTCTAATTTAAATGAAATTCTCAGCTAAGATGAGTTTATGGTTTTTGTGTCGTAAATGGTGATAACTAATAGGTTTGTGTTCTAATTTCAGGCACCCGATATGGTGCTAGTTTGAGGAAGCAAATTAAGAAGATGGAAGTCAGTTAGCACAGTAAATTCTTCTGCGAGTTTTGTGGAAAGGTGATTTTTTTTAAGGTGTTTTATGACGAGTTTTTTCGATCTGCATTGGTTGATTATATTCTCAATTTGTTGTATGTAGTATGCTGTTAAGAGAAAGGCTGTTGGTATTTGGGGCTGCAAAGATTGTGCGAAGGTCAAGGTTGGTGGTGCTTACACTTTGAAGTAAGAATCTTGCTCAAAAAACATGTTTTCTCAATTGATTAATTGCTTGTATATAGTTACTAACCTTGTGATTTTCTTTGTGCTTATTATTTTGACAGTACTGCCAGTGCTGTGACTGTTCAGAATACCATCCGAAGGTTGAGGGAGCATACTGAGAGTTAGAAAGGAAGCAGTATTACAATTTTGTTATTTTTTGTTTTCAAAGTTATTGCAGAAACTCTTGTACGTCCTTAATTATTGTTATCTTTGATTTGGATATTTGAGGAAGGTTTTGTAAGTGTATCAGTTATCTTTAGATTATGAATATGTTACATGAGTACATGAAATACCATATTGACCGTGTTATTATGTTCAAACCTCGCAGGATCAGGACCTTAATACATAATTGACAGTGTTTCTTTCATACATTAGGACTGATTTAGTTGTTGTTAGGGTTGATTTTGTAAGACTGATTTTGAGTTATAATGCTGATAACAATGGTTTTTATATATTTTGAGGTACAAAAATGGTGTATATATATTTTGGATTACAATGGTATACAATGCATTACCGCGGTTTATGAATTACAGGTTATGGCAACTGGTTTATATAAATAATATGCTGCAAACAATACAGGTATATGAATTATATAAATTATACCTCTAAAAAAACACCCTATGAAAGCGCTTTTTCAAGAAAAACGCTGCCTTAGGTAACCTATGAAAGCACTTTTTCACAAAAAGCGTTGTCTAAGGTAAACATATGACAACATTTTTCCAGGCAAAAGCGCTGCTAAAAGACCACCTATGAAAGCGCTTTTCCAAAAAAAGGCGTTGCTAAAAACCTACCTAAGACAGCGCTTTTCTAGAAAAAAACGCTGCTAAAAGAAAACTTATGAGAGCACTTTTCATTAAACAAAAAGCGCTGCTAAAACCTATAGCAGCGCCACCTACGAAAGCGCTTTTAAGTGCTTTTAAAGACCAAAAAAGCGCTTTCGTAAGTCTTTTTTGGCATAGTGATACTTGATAAGTTCTTCAGATACTTATATAAATATTGTTTTGCTATCCTTCAAGAATGCTTGATAAGTTCTTCAGAAAATTATATAAATATCATTTTCTAATTAATAAACTGTTATCCTTCAGGGATGCTTGATAAAATTTTCAGGAACTTATATAAATATCGTTTTGCTATCCTTCAAGAATGTTTGATAAATTCTTCAGAAACTTATATAAACATTGTTTTGTTATCCTTCAGAGATGTTTGATAAGTTTTTCAGAAACTTATTTAAATATTATTTTTTTAATTAATATTATATAAATAACTGATATAAAATATATTATAAAAAAAAAGAAGAAATAATATCACTTTATAAGTCTTGGAGCTTCGTGATAACGTATTATAGAATTAATAATAATCAATATAATAGAAGAGTGGAGATGAAGTCAATAAAGAGAAGAAAAAAATATGATTGTATTATTTTTATTATCAGTGTCAATTTCAAATATAATATGAGTCTTATTTTTAAAATATATATGATAAATAGAAAATCAATTAAAATCTTTTAATTGATAAACATCTATAATTATTTCATTTATAACTATTTTTATTTTATTAACTTATATTTAGTACACTTGTTATTAATTAAGCCATTATTTACCCATTGGTTTGATGTCATTATTATTTTATTAGTTAATAATTAACAAAATTGAGATTCATGTCAAGGAAAATCACTAAAACTCTTGATTCACTCCATTCCGTGGGCTTCCTAATTTTTCCCACTGGTTTTCTTTTATGTCCATCCTTTATCTTATTTAATTTTCAAACGATAAAACTACGTGCAATTGTATTATTAAGTATAGTCCTATTTCAATCATTATTATAAATAATAAATTTCTTTTTAAATTTATTGAATAATAAATATATTTAATTTTTTTAAACCAACAAAAAATATTTGTTTATATAATGGCCGAAGAGAGTATTTATCAATTTAATTTAATTTTAAACCTTTTTTTCTTTTCTTTTTAATTAAATTTTTGTTTCGGATATTATATGTCTTCTTTGATTAATGTAACTTGTAGCGTATCTCACGCTCCACCGCTTTGAGAATCAAAAGAAACAAAAAAGACCCAACAGAATACAGGGCGTTCATTATTCTATATAACCGTCGATTAAAATAGGCCACGTGTGATAATAATCCACAATTTATACGCGTGGCAAACGATTGACCTCACTGTCATATTAAAGCTTTGAACGTGTACGGTGACGGAAGAAACTCCCACTGCTTTTTAACCGCAGTAGAAAAAAATTGAAAGATCATTGAATTTTTTAACTTAACCATGGTTAAATATTGACTTAACCACGGTTTAATGGCTATTTATAAAGAAGGCTAACCATGCCGGAGTTTATGTAAACATTCAGATAAAACCAAAAACATTGAGAATAACAAAATGATGATAGGAGAACATCATCGAGCGAATCCAACGGTTCATGTTCCTCCATGGAACTTCCATGATGATCCAACGGCTGAGATTTACTCCTCTTATTTCCCTGAGGATTGCAATGCTGGAACCGGAGATTACTCTCCGTACTATCTCCGTGAAGCACTGACGGCGCTTCAGCGTTATCTTCCGTCAAACGAGTTAGACAACGATTCCGACTCGGATGTCCACGGCCGTGACTCTGATTCTCCGGTGGACGCGTACTCATGCGATCATTTCCGCATGTACGAGTTCAAGATAAGAAGATGTGCTCGCGGAAGATCGCACGACTGGACGGAGTGTCCGTACGCTCATCCCGGAGAGAAAGCACGCCGCCGTGATCCAAGGAAGTTTCATTACTCCGGTACAGCGTGTCCTGATTTTCGCAAGGGTAACTGCAAGAAAGGTGATGGTTGTGAGTACGCGCATGGTGTTTTTGAGTGTTGGCTTCATCCGGCTCGTTACCGGACTCAGCCATGCAAGGACGGAACTAGTTGCCGCCGGCGTGTTTGTTTTTTCGCTCACACACCGGAGCAGATCCGTCTCAATGTTCAACAAAGTACTCCACGGAGCCTTAACTCGCCCGATTCTTATGACGGTTCTCCGCTTAGACAGACAGCTTTGCCGTTTATTGCTTCTCCGATTTCAATTTCTCCACCTGAGTTAGAATCTCCGCCGATATCCCCCATGAGTAAATCTTTAGGTTCATCTTTGGGTTCAAGTTCAGTTAACGAGATGGTTGCTTCCTTAAGAAATTTACAGTTAGGGAAGTTAAAATCTATGCCGGTTAATAGAAACCTTACATTCGGGTCAAGTTTCGGGTCACCGAGATGTTCTGTGCTTCGACCCGGGTTTTGTAGTCTTCCAAATACACCAACTCAAAAACATGGGTCGGGTCGGGTTGGAGTAAGTTATTTCGATCTTTGGGAACAGAGTTGTGAGGAGGAGCCTATAATGGAAAGAGTTGAATCTGGAAGAGACATAAGGGCTAAAATGTTTGAGAAATTAAGCAAAGAAAATTCTATGGAAAATTCTGACCCGGATTTGTATCCGGGTCAAGCAGGTGGGGCTCCGGATGTTGGATGGGTTTCTGAGCTGCTGAAATGAATTGAATGGATGTTGGTTTATTTTTGGAGGCTATTGGTTCTGAATTCTGATTAATTGTTGGTTAAAAGCGACGTCGTTTGGGGTTGTTTTGTTGATTTTTTTCTTCTGTTTTGTCCCTTTGTGAATCTGTGTAAATATTTTCATTGCAAGGTATGAGTGGTAAATGTTTAAGGGTAGTTTCTGATTATCACTAAACCATCCATAACTCTTTGTATAGTAATCTAATCATTATTGTTGTTATTATCAATATTATCATGAATTATGGAGTATTATTATCTACTTAGTTCCATTAAATTAAGATCAATTAGTATATATAATGTACTTAATGTATGATCTATGATATATATTTTTAATTAATAAACTTGTGGTGGTGGATTTTGATTTGACCAAGTCGATAGAAAATTAGGACATCACACGGAGCACGTGTTTGAGAAAAGATTTAGGATACGATTAAATAAGAAACGGGAAATAGCTTTATTAGATTTTTTAAATCTTTAAATTGTCCTTTCGTCTGTATGATCTTATCTTTGGGTTATCCATTTAGACACGAAAAATGATGACTTGTTCGGCGTTTTGTTAGAAATTTTGTCGACATGTGAAGGGTTTTTTTTATTGGTGATGTAACATCATGATCCCACGTAGCGGATTACTTAATGTAATGGATTGACTCTTATTTTTGTTGTTGTTTTGGGTGAGATCTAAAGAAAAGACTAGTTGATGTAGACTTGATTCTTTACTAAATTAAGAAGGTTTGATCGCTTCAAAGTTTATAATGTAGTGCCCCTAACATGAAACAATTTATAAAAGTCCCAAATTGAAAAAAAAATTCTAGTGGATTGTATTGTATTTTTTTTAATTTTAAATAGGTGATGTTTAGGCTATTCCTTATAAAATTAGGAGAAATTTATTTTAATGACTTATATTAATTAAATTTTTATAATATAAAATTAATTTTTAAAATTCCATATTAATCTAAAATCTTAAGATATTGAGTTTATGTTTTTTTTAATTTTTTTTTTTTAATATCTTCTTTTTCTTCAATGTGATGACATACTAATATATTATTATTAAAAAAAATTAAATTATATATTATTTTTTTATTTTATTTTGAAAATTTTAAATTAATATATAATTTTAAAATTTTACAATAGAATTTAATTAATATATGTCAAAAGGTAAATTCATAAATTTACAAAAATATTATAATATTTACGATAAAATTTAATTGATATACTCTCTTCGGTCTTATTTATAAGAAAAAATTAACTTTTTAGATACATTAAATAAGTAATGTATTTGTCCAAATACATTACTTATTCAATGTATATAAAAAGTTAATTTTTTCTTATAAATGAGACCGGAGGGAGTATATCATAAAAAATAAATTATTCTTAAATTTAAAAATTTATCTTTTAAATATGGTAAATTGTGATGTAGAAATTAATCTACAATAATAGATCAATTGGATCAACAATAAACACATAAAACAAATACATAGTAGCAAATTGAATAAATAAAGAAATTAATTAATATATGTCAAAAGGTAAATTCATAAATTTACAAAAATATTATAATATTTACGATAAAATTTAATTGATATACTCTCTTCGGTCTCATTTATAAGAAAAAATTAACTTTTTAGATACATTAAATAAGTAATGTATTTGGACAATATATTGTCCAAATACATTACTTATTCAATGTATATAAAAAGTTAATTTTTTCTTATAAATGAGACCGGAGGGAGTATATGATAAAAAATAAATTATTCTTAAATTTAAAAATTTATCTTTTAAATATGGTAAATTGTGATGTAGAAATTAATCTACAATAATAGATCAATTGGATCAACAATAAACACATAAAACAAATACATAGTTGCAAATTGAATAAATAAAGAAATTAAGCATCCAGTGGTGATTGACGTTGGATTTGGTAGAAAATACCATGATCGTAACAATGATTTTAAAAAAAATTAAATTATTTGATGTCAGAACTGACTCCCGAATCAGATTAAACTAATAGTGAAATCAATATTTTAAGATGAAAAATCTCTTAATATGAGAATAGAAATTATAAATCGGACATATCAATCACAAAGCAAACTTATTTTATAAATAAGAATAAAAAAAATTAAAAAATCATCTAAATCTGCACATCCAGCGTCCCAGATTTACAAATGCATTATGTGGCCTTTGAAGCCATCCTCACCAGATCCAACACAGGCGTCCTAGACCTTATCTCTTTGGGCCTAGTGGATTACCTTCTCACACCTCTAAAATCACTTATTCAGACCCATCACTGTTTTTTTATTTCAATTTCTTTTTGTTTATATAATTAATTTTTTTTAATTAATTAAAACTAATTTAAATTTAGGTTTTTTTTATTAAATCAACTTGATTTTTTTAAAATTAAATTAACTTAACTTTTTAAATTAAATTAATTGAAAATAATTAACTTAGTTTCTTTAGGGTTTTTATCATTTAATATTTTTTCAAATAATCAATTTCTTTTTTAAAAAAAACTAAAAAATAATTAAGTTAGGTTAAATCATCAAATTTTCTTTATCAAAATGATCACAAAAAGAAAATATTTTCTCCATTTCTCTTTACTTTTACAATCTCCGCGCACTCTTTTATTTTCGCATTACTTGTTTTATAAATTATGTAATTGTTGATGGTTTGTAATAGCTTAAACTAGGATTTACTATTTCTTCCCATATTTTTTATGGTTTGTACCCCCTTCCCTGAAGCCATGTAATAGTTTAGATTTCTTTTCTGCATTTTATTATTTTCCTTATAATTGCTAGATGTATGCTAATAGGGTTTGTATGACAAGATCTAAAACAAACGCTAGAAAACCTAATCAAGACAAATTAACTGAAAACAAATCACTTTTCACACACGCACCTCTAGGATGACTCCACTTGTTGCCTTCAGAAAACAGTCATATCCCTTGAACATAGAGATACCATTAGCAAAGACTCTCGGTTAAAAATCATCATAAAGATCATAGTCCCTCGATGACTCTTCGATGCTGCCTTCGGTAAATGATCTTGTCCCTTGATGTTGCCTAGAATACATGATGATAGTCCCTTCTAATTGCTAAAGGTATCCCTATATGTTGCTTTTATTACTGTACAATGACCCGCACCTGTCCCTCAAACATCCAACGACAGGTCTTCCTACTAACTAATGGTAGGATAATACTATATAAAGGAAGAGGAAAAGAACAAAATACTTTTGAGTAGGTAGGTAGTTCTTGACCGCTTACTCGCGAGCATTTCAAAAACATTTTTCACATAATACCCTTCTCTTCTGAAATATTTTCAAAACAAACACTTTGTATGCGTTCTCAACTGATACGAGAATCATTACAAAGTTGTCGGACTTAGAAATTTTCAAAATATTTTCAAAGTTACACATTCATAAAGCATTTTCAAAGTGAGCTAGCGATTAAGAGCCCATAGATAACTACGAATGAAAAGGGTGCTAACACCTTCCCTTTTCATAACCTACCCCCCCCTTACTCAGAAAATTCTCGAAGGTATTTCTTGTTCTTTTCACCCTTTACTTTATTGGATAAAAGAAAATTCGATGGCGACTCTTGTTATCTGCAACATTTGCGATAAAATGAAAAACCAAAAGTCATTTCTCCCACCGTATTACAGAACTGGAGACTCTGCTGAGGAGAACTAAAGTGGGGTTACCTTAAGAGTTAGATCACATTTTAAATGCTTTACTTGCTTGATTTGTATGCTTTACATTTTGGGGTTTTTTCTAGGGTTTATTTTTTATAAAGATCCTATACCTGGATCTGGGGGAATTTTAGGTAAGTAGCAATAGATCGTGAAAACTATATAGCATATACCGATATGATTGAAGCGATGGCTACGTTAGTGTGACACATTGGTTGGTGTCGGTGTCCCTTGAGTCAGTCAAGGAGAATGTTGGGCTACCGCGTGGTGTCATAAGTACTAACTGACCGTAGAACTTTAGTTGACACAACTTAGCCACTAGAAAGTAGTGAGATAGCTGGCTTTGGTGCAGACTAAAGTTGGTTGATACTCGATACTATACTCATTGAGATCAGACTCTTGGGACATTTCGATCGAAAATCAGATGTTGTGCTGAAACAATGCCTGAGAGAAAGATCGGTGATATTGAGATTCCTAGAACCCGATTACTTATTTTAGGACATGTTGAGCCAACTAAAACTCAAGAGGGTACTTACCTACAAACTCCATGCAAGCTTAAACCTAAGGCCTTTTGTGTTTTGTTTGTGTCTGATTAATTGTTGGAACGTGACATCATAACATCATGACATCATACCATATCATTTTTACTAAACAATTCAAGAACCTGTAGAATCAAACTATGTTCTAACAATCCTACAAGCGCTTACCACTGAGCTAAAAGAAATTACTTGTAGCCAAGGTGCTACTCTATTTCCTTATATAGAATCTAACAAGGGGCCTACCTGGCCCACCTAACACACCTGTGTAGGCGCCCATGGGGGGATGTTAAGCCCTTCGAATCCCTAAGGTTTACGCTGGATATTTTAATCCAACAATCTCCCCCCCAGTGTCAGCCGGGGGGATTCAAACCCATGACCTTGCTCTGATACCACTTATAGGATCAAGCGCTTACCACTGAGCTAAAAGCAATTGCTTGTAGCCAAGGTGCTACTCTATTTCCTTATAGAGAATCTAACAAGGGGCCTACCTGGACCACCTAACACACCTGTGTAGGCGCACATGGGGGGATGTTAAGCCCTTCGAATCCCTAAGGTTGACGCTGGATATTTTAATCCAACAGAACCAAGGGATTTATCTTTGTTCTTTGTTGTAGGTTATGGCCTCCGCTCGCAGAAACACTATTCAGATCAACTTTGTAAGGGTACCTTCTCAGCTTAAGGAGTTTGTCCCAAGGGTTCACGAAAGTTCTCAATTCATCAAAAGGCATGGTCGACTACTCAGTCTGATTACCTCAGGTTTTGAA